ACTGTGATAGCCGTGCTTGTTCCTGAACTTCATAGAGAAGTAGGGTTCTTTCCCTCATCACAGTGAGGCCAGCAAAGCCCCAGCAGCCCATACTCGAAGGTGTTCTGATAGCCACCAGCAGAGAGCCACTAAAAAACACTAGGGAGCCTCCTTTCCTTTGACAAAAACCTCTCATGATTCCTATGAGCACAAAGATTCCCCTCCTCACATTTGGCTGAAAATGTGTCATCAGCACTTTACACCTCCCAAAGAAGAAAAATGTCAAAAATAATAGTTCTCTCTGAATCTGCTGGAAATTTTTTAGGAAAAAAATCAGTATGAAGTGCTAAAGAATATTTAGATCCTCTTTATTTTTTGCATATGATGGTACTTACATTTTTTACAAAGCCTGTGAAACTGAATTCTACTTCCCTTGCATTTGTTCCATTTCAGAGCCCTAGAGTCAAGAGTGAATGTAGGCATTGCATCCATCATCGTTTAAGCAGAAGAAGTGCTCAATAGACTTGCTGAGGACACTAGTAGATAAAACTGCAGAGCTCCAGTAGAAGTGGAGTTGGTCTGTGTCGCCCCAACTTCTCCACAGTTTAGCTAATTCTTCCCTTCCTAAGATGGCTCCTAGGCAGGGGTTCTAAAGCCACTGGAGTTATAAGACCACAGTTTGAAAACTCTGTCATTTTGGATGCCTGGGTGACTCAAAAGCATCTGCTTTTGGCTCAGGGCATGATCCTAGGGTCCTGGGATCGAGTTCCACATCAGTCTCCCCATGGGGAGCCTGCCTCTCTTTCTGTGCCCCTCATGAATAAATAAAATCTTAAAAAAAAATAAAAAGAAAATGCTCTCATTTTATAGATAAGGACACTGAGGCCCAGAGAAGCATGGTGATTTGCTCAAAGCCACACAGCTTCTATGTGGCAAATGTAAGGCTCAAATCCAGATTTTTCTGTGCCCACTTAGGTCAAAGTTCTTCCCACTAAATCATACTTGCCTCTGGTCTTACTTGTCCAAGTGTCCAGACTTCAAGGACTAGCTGAATTCCCACCTTCATTGTGATGTCTCAGCCTACACTGATTGCTACTTTTCTTAGGTTCTACTAAGTCTTACTGCATGGGCCTCTCACCAGGCAGTCTATCACTTCCTTTATCTTTTTTACTTTTTTCTTCTTTCTTCTCTGAGATTTAAAATTCCTATGGGTATATCCCCTTTATCTACTTCTGAATATCACAGAAAATACCATGTGCATTCTTGGAACACTGCCCATAGATAATGATTAAAACCATGACTAGCAGAGACTATAATTGTTCCCTAATATTCATTCTTTAATTATTCCTTTTATTAGTAGCACCTAAGTTTAGCTGAATATATGGCTGCTGGCTAGAAATTGTTTCCCAGATTTTCTTGCAACCAAGCATGGCCATGTAACTAAGTTGTGTTTAATAAAATGTGAATAGGAGTAATGTGAACTCCCAGTCATTTTCTTAAAAGGACACTGCTCACTCTTCTCTTTACCAAAGGAGGTCCTTTTCCCCTTGAACTTGGCTGAGGTGGTAAAATAGCTTCAACCATGTGGAAGAGGGCAACACTCTTTGGGATAATGGAACCAGAAGACACAGGAAACTTTAGTGCTCAGATAACTTCATGGAGAAAGCCACCCAGTCTGCCCACCTACCTCTCAGCTCCTATCCAAAAGAGAAATAAATGTTTATCTTTCAGAGTTTTTTTTTGTTATAACAGCTTGCCACATTCCTTAACTAAAATAATGTAACTATAATAATATCTTCTGTCCTAGTTTATACTTTGTAACAAAGCAGATCATATTTGGGTTACCTGGGTGGCTCAGTTGGTTGAGAAACCAAGAGAAACCTCTTGGTTTCTGCTCAGATCATGATCTCATGCAGGTTATGATCTCAGGGTCATGAGATTGAGCCCCATGTGGCTCTGCACTCAGCAAGGAATCTGCTTGAAGATTCACTCCCTCTTCCTTCCCTCCCCACCCCAGGCTCACACATGCACACACTCTTTCTCAAAAAATAAAAAATAAAAAAATAAAAAAAGCCAAACAGATCATACTTGCAGTACATCTTGTAAAGTAGTAAGTAAAATTCTGATATAAAATTATTGGACCTAAAAGAGAGAAGACCCATTAACAGGTATGCTTGACTCCCTTAGTAAAATGTACTGAACACCTACAATATGCTAGGGACAGAGAAGGACGTTGATATTGAGAGAACACTCTCAACCACTGTGTGATCTCATTCCCTCAGCCCAATATTCCCATGATATGAGTATTTTCATTCACATATCATAGGTGAGGAAACTGAAACATAGGAGCCTAACTCCCTTGTGCATGTTGATTTTATCTGGTAGGCAGTGAGCTTATTCATTCCCAGGCCTACCGACCCTAGACCCTAGAGTTCGTACTCTTCTCACCCCACTTCCGAGGCTCAGCACCTGTGGCTACTGCCCTTCAGGGCCTCACAGATCAAGTGAGGACAGACTCAGAAGCAATTAACTCTACCTGCATTAGAGACCTAACCAACACAATTCTGAGGTGTTCAAGGAAAGAGCAATTAATTCTAACCTAGGGGACTGGGAGGGATTTTTGCAGAGAAATCTCATTTGCACTGACCTTTGAGACACTAGCAGATGTGGATAAACAGAGAAGAGAGAAAGACATGGCCAACCAAGGGGCCAGCATGAACAAAGACAAAGACAGACAGGAAAGTAGAATGCATGTGGGAAATGATGAGCAGCCCATGTGAATGGACAGTGAGGGGCTTCACGGGAGGAGATGGGGCTGAAAGTCAGGCCAGGGCCAGACCAGAGAGGCCTTGTGTTCCAGGAGAAAGCTGTGATGCTGCTTTTTAAGCAACAAGGAATAACAGATGTTTGAGGAGGCATGTCATGTAACCTAGCACGTGTGCCAGCATGAAGGAACAGGCAAGAGACAAGGCTGAGCATTCAGGCTACTGCAGAGCCATCCAGGCAACAGCTGATGAGGGCATGAACAGAAGGCAGCACGCAGATGTAGGGGGTACAGCCTGGCTATATGGGGTTGTGCACCAGCCCTCTGAATCCTAGCAGCCAGGGACAAGCCTGATAACAGAGTCTCTACAAAACTGGCTGCAAGGCTCATCTCCAATTTTCTACTCAAATTACTTTCTTCTGTTTTCACTTTCAGTAAAGAGGGTTTCTTTGGGGGCTCTGTGTGTGTGTGTGTGTGTGTGTGTGTGTGTGTGTGTATAACTGTGTGTGTAGTTAAGATAAAGCAAGAGTGGAAGACCCTGGGTCCCATCACCCCCAGGGCAGCACACACAGGGCCACAGCCCTCTCCTGACTGGCATTCAGCTTCAGCCATCACTCTCACTTTTAAGTCAAACTCCCGCCAACACACATATAAAATAAATTCCAGCATCACACACCTCTCACCTTCTCAGTGTGCAATGGGCCTGTTTTCTGGCTTCTGTATTCTTGGGGAAGTGGTTGAGCTTCCTAGCACACAACTGTTGTAAACAGTAAGAGTCCTATGGAAAACTGTGATAGCAGATTTCTTGGGAGCTGTAAGGCAAAGGGCAAGGCAGCAAGCAGTGATGGAAAGTGTGTGTATAACCCTCCTATACCCTCTTACCCCAGCACACATTGAGGTTTCTCTTTCATGATTGTTTTTAGCCTCTTTTTCCTTTCCAACCACCGACCACTCAATTCTTTGAGGGAAAATTAACATTCATTATGCAATTTATCTCCCTCCTTTTAATCCAGAGTGTCTGTCTCCAAGGTCCCTACTCAATAATTAATGTTTGTTCTCATTTCCCATTCTCAAGAGCATCTATTCTTGAACTGTAGGGTCAACAATTAACACTAATTATGGCTTTTCCTCTCTCTAGTGTTGGTTCTTAGAATCTCAAGTTGCCTTGCTCAGCCTAAGTTATGTGTGTGCACACGGCTGTGTCTGTGCACTCCAGGGAGGAAAAACACCCAGGAACAGGCTTTTCCAAGCCCACCACAGTTTAGCAAATCAATAAAAACGAACATTCTTTTTTTGGCAACCTGTCTAGGGTATTTATCATCCATAATGAGACAATGAAGCATGCATACATACATACATACGTGTATTTGGATATGAGTTGGAGGGGCAATTAGAAGATCTCAAAGTCTTTTCCAGTTTGACTTTTCTATGATTTCTCCCTCACTTTTCCTTCCTATTGGTATCTCTTCAATACCTCATATACCCCAAACCCCTAACCACCCGTCCCCACACACACTCCCAAATTTCCCATTAAAAACTGTTCTTCTATCTCAGATCCATTCAGTTGACCTCTTTGCCATCTATCATCACCACACCCTTCCCTTAACTGTTTTTCTCTGGAATATCATGCAAATTCTCCTCATTCATTAAAACAGCATTGTTTTAACTAGTTTTCATTTTGACTGACAAGGACAGCCAGGAAAATAATTCTCGCCCAAGGTAACTTGAAGAGATTGAAAAAAAAATCAGGGCTGTGCAGAAGCCTGTCTGTCCTCTTGGCTAGAATCAGATGGGCTAGAATCCCTCCTGTCCCCCCTGGTCCAACCCGCTACAGCTGCAGGCTGGGGCTCCTCACACTTGTCTGTCATCCCCCTATTGCTGCATGCACTGGGGCCCCACAGCACATCTGCTGTTCAAATCTGGGCATCTCCTCACAGCATGTGTCAAGCATTAACTGTTTCATGCTCTTACTCCATCAAAAGTTCTCCTCTCAGAATTTCAGCATCACAGTCCCTACAGGATTTCACCCTTAAACATCTTAAATAAAAGTATTATTTTCTTCCGGGCTTTTAAAATCCCAGATCAACCTTCTCTCCATGATAGCATCAACAGATTTTTTTTTAAAAAAAACCATTCAATTTATTATGAGGCTTAAGCATCAAAGCTCCACTTGGTTTTCCCTTGTCTTGAAGTAAGAAAAATAGCTTTTTTTCAAGACATTTTCACACTCACAGGTAAAACCCCTATTGTTTTTCAGCCTATGAATCTGTCAATTCAAATACCAGCCATGCAAAGGAGGGGTCTAGTATTCAGCGTCCCCTAAGAAGTAAGATTTTTCTCTAAAAAAGTCACCTCTACTTCTCTGTATCATGTGATTCGCATACACATTATTTTATACTGAGACCTCCAGAAACATGCAATTTCTCCCCTAATATAGCAATAAGTAGGGAAGAGGATTCAATTCTTGGAGAGCCTCAGAAATGTGGTGTCCTCAGGAGTTACTCATGGGTAGCCCCGTGTGCTGTGGCCTGAGTATAAATATTAGGCGAGAAGAGGAGCTAGACCAAGTGCCTGTGCTTAGCAGGCCCAGTAAGGAAAACCTGCAGGTGTGTCCTATGGGTTCTGCAGGTCATATGCTGCACAATTCACATTATAATGAGGTGGACGTTGCACAGCTCAGCCTGCGCCACCACAAATGAGGAAAGTATCTGGAAAATACTCTTGGACATGTATTCTAAATGGAGGACTGAGGCCAGTACTACTTCTTCCAAGCTCCCTTTTATACTTCATTCCCCCATTTAGAAAGAAGCAAAAACTAGGAGTGTAGGTTGACTTTGCAGTTCATCCTCTGTCTACCACCATTGCTGCTTCTGCCTCAGACCAGGGGGAAAGGATGATTATGTAGAGACCTTCCCTCTCTCCTAAAAATCGTCTTTGATTAATAGAGAAATGTGTGTGGTCTTCCTCACTGCTTATTTTGGGGCAGGCAGCAATGAATCCTGAATGAGGGACCTGCTATAGTGACAGGAAGCAATGTCACAGATGGAGTGCTGGAGCCAGAGCTGAGGGGAAGGAATTGTTTTTGCCAGAGACTACAAAACTAGAAGGAGAAAAGGCACAATCATATGCTTGCCAATCTCAAAATCTGTAAGCAGAGAAGTACTTGAGAGCCTGGCATTCTGCATTACGCCTCCTGCCATTCTCCTTGGATGGACATCCTGACCATGGTGGGAAGTTTCAGTGTCAGTTCTGTTCTTTTTCACTTGTTGGTTGGAACTGGGCCAAAACAGCTCTTAATCGGAGCCCTCTACTAGTGAAGGAGGATGATAATGATGATGATGGAGATGATAGCTATCATTGTGTTCTATCTTTGATATGCCAAACATTTGTGCTGAGGGCATTACATTCATTATTTTACTTCGTCCTTACAGCAATGATATGAGGTAAATTCTATCTCTATCCTCATTTTTCATCTAGGATGATGTGACTCAGAGAGGTTAAGTGACTTGCCCAAGGTAAATGGGCACACAGCTAAATGGCTGTGATTTGAACCCCAGAAGCCTGCATTTTTATCACAATGCATGTTTAGCAGTGATGTCAATGTAAACAGGCACGTTTCCATCTGACAAAATGGAGCCTTTAGGAAGTTCCTGATTTTATAAGCCATACAAATAAATGGTTTCTGTTGTACATCCTTTTCTCCCCCAACTCCCCTTACTTAGCATCAGACACCCTTTGGTGGGTAACACTGAAAATGATTTGCAACTTTTAGAGACATGAGAAGAGAAGAAGCTAAAAAAAAAAAAAAGTAGGAATAATTTGGGAGAAGCCAAACTCCTGAGACAGATTTTCTAGGAAGATAGGCCATAACAGGGTAGCTCTCCAGACCAAAAACATTCTTACTAATATGGCCAAAAATGTTACAATTTCACTTTATTCTACTATTAAAATCTTATTAATAGATTCACTTTGAATTCAGAAGTATTCTCTTAAAAGGTTGATACTTCTGATAAGTTAATAGTCATTCACCCTTTAGTTTAAAAAAATTATTTGATCAGATGGCTGTCCTCTTGCAACCTACCTGAGAACTAGCTGCTTTGAGGGACTAAAAATTCTGACAGAGGTAGGAAGAGAGGTGGGTAATTTGAGAGTGAAGAGAGGTTTAAGCATTGAAACATGCATGGCTAGTTGACTGCCCTAGAGGGCTTAGATGAACAGAAACAGCTATATAGAGAAGAAGGCACAAGAAAAAGAAAAGTACAGAAAGGGAAATGGTAGAGTGCCAACGACAAACTTGGACTATTTCAGAATTGCCCCATGGCAAGCTCTATATTCAGGGAAAGAAAAGAAAAAGGTTCATTTCCTCTTTTCTCTACTTCTAGTAGCTAGAAGACCTTAGGCTCATGCAAATCTCTTTATTTCCAAGCTTTTGAATATACTGTTGCCTCTGCCCAGAGTACAATTCTTCATCTCCTCCTACCCCCTGTCACTTTTTGGAATTGCAGTAAAATATAAACAACATAAAATTTGCCATTTTAACAATTTTTAAGTGTACCATTCTGTACCATTGAGTAGATTCTCATCATGGTGCAACCAATTTCCAGAACTCTTCTTGCAAAACTGAGATCCTATACCCCTTAAATAACAACTCCCCATTCCAATGGGACCGCCCACATAGGCATAGAGAACCTCTTTCAAGGCTTAGATGTAGGAAACATTTGTTCCTTTGATTTGCTCAATAACCTTAACAAAAAATTCTTGCATCTCTTTGGCCTTAAAATTACCATTTGTTTTTAAGAAAATGGATATAACAGTATTCTGAAAATATTTGATACTCCCTGCAACTGGGCTCAAAGAGCAATTTAAGTTATCTATTCACTGGAATCATCTATAGATCTTTCACAACTCTTTGTTTTCTTTTTGATCATTTGGTTTTAATGAGTATTTTCAGGAAAAATGATAGGATTATAAAGAATTATATAATGGTGGGCTTTGGTTATTTGTGAACTTGAAGGTCAGCTTCAACTATTTGCAAATGACTTCACAGATCAGTGACACATACAATATGTCATCTTACAGAGGCATGGAATCAAATCAAAAATATAAGGCTGGAAAACAAAAGACCATCACTAAGCTAGTGAGTTCACCTAGCTCTCCTCTGAGCACCCATAGCTCACTGTTGTGATCTATATTCACTACAACACCTGCAACTGCTCTTGTGAAGTTATTTTTCAAAAAGAGGAATACTGATTCTTTTTATATAAATATTGCTAAATGGCCCTAAATAGAAGGTCAACTGCTGGAGCTGATGATAAAAATAAGAGAAAGTGATGTGGTCTAACATTTTTATGATTCTCTGGAAAAAAATAATTTTATAAATCACCCTAACCCTTTATTTTATAGACTCATTAAGAACTTGAAGAACTCCTCTTTTTATTGGGAATATGAAATACACTAGAGGTATTCACAAATCTAAGGATTCTTGAAATTCTCAGAATGTGTCCCTTCTAAATAGCCAGAATCTGCTGTTCACTTACTGTATAATATGCACAAAGGCTCAGGGCCTTGCTCAAGCAGTGAAGTAACGTTTAGCACAATGCATTTTAAGGCTGGTATGGATTTTAAGGTATGGTAGGGTGTGTATGTATGAGTGTGTGAGTATAGTACCAGTATATCTCTCAACCTATAATAAAGTTTAGAATATTATTTTTTCTTCTGTCAGAATGACCAAAAAATTATAACTTTTATTAACTAGTAATCCATAAATACTCCTTTCCGTTTCCTCATGCCTCTGACATTTGTGGCATAAAGAAGCATGAGGCTTTTCTTTAGGATTTTTTTTTCTCCTAGCTTTTTTCACACATCTTCCTGTGGCCTATGGCTTTTCATTTACTGTTGTCTTAGTTCTCTACAATTCCTTATTTGAAAAAATAATGAAGTCACAAGCATTGGAACATGTCCAATAGAGAGTGAGTCTGTTTTACAAAGCACATAGGATTGCTTATTCATTTATTCATTCAACAAACACTAAGGGACCATCTACTAATGCCATATACTGGGGTAGGCACATGAATACAGTTGAGAAACAAAGTCCATGCCTTCGTGTTGTCCACAGTAGTAGATTATGGTGACAGCTATAAATAAGTACAGACTAACTCAGCCTTTGAGAAGGCTTTTGGAATGAGGGAACACGTAAGCTGACTTTCTAAGGATATAGTAGGAACTAGCCAAGTGAAGAAGAGGAAGGGATGCTCCAGGGAAAGGGACCACCTTAAGGTTAGAGAACATGGTGACATGGGAGAAGTGTAAGCAGCTTATAATCACTGGTCCCCAGGGCACAGGAAGAGAAGAGAGTGGGGAAAAGTGCAGTTAGCTAGTGAGGTAGGCAAGAGCTAGATTATGAAATGCCATAGTAACAACTGAGAAATTTATCTCAAAGATTGTGAGATCCTATTTATGCAGGATCTCACAATTAATATAACCAGATTTTTATTTTAGAGAAATGACTCTTCCAACTATCTGAAAAATGGATTGAAGGGGGTAAGCCTAAAGGCTAGAAGACCAGATGTCTATACTTATTTGAGAAGGAGTGACCAAGAATAGTATCTCTCATAGAATTAAGATCACCACTCGAGGGGCACCTGGGTGGTTCAGTGGTTGAGCATCTGCCTTTGGCTCAGGTTGTGATCCCAGAGTCCTGGGATCGAGTCCCACATCAGGCTCCCCATGGGGAGCCTGCTTTTCCTTCTGCCTATGTCTCTGTCTCTCCCTCTCTCTCTGTGCCTCTCATGAATAAATAAATAAAATCTTAAAAAAAAAAAAAAAAGATCACCACCTGAATTGAATTGGTTGGCCACTTTGTAGCTCCACCTTCAGCCATTCTTGTTAATTCTCTTCTTCCTCAGTCTTCCATCACAGGTATCCTTATTAATCCCACAATGTATCTTGAATGAAGGGTTTCTTGTGCAGTTGATATTTTATTGCTGCAAAACTTGAATTTAGATTCTGCCGTCTAGCTTGCCTTCCATTCTGGGTTTGGTAAACTGCCATGTACCTTTGGACCTCTCCATAAAAAATAATTTATGAACTTTTGGGAGAACTTGGTGTTCCCAAAGCTAAATCCAAACCCTTGAGACTGAACTAGACTTGGTCTAAGAAGATATAAGCAAGTAAAAGAACTCTTATTCCAACTTGTAAGAAAAATATTGCCCTTGCATTTACTAGGCATTTCCATATTTAAATTCAGACCAATGTATATCTTCTAGATGAATCTACCTGGCTCCTTTAATAGAGCTCTTTGGGGTATGTCTTTAGCTTGGAGATTTTCTCAGGTCTTGAGTAACTGTTTGATATGCCCATCTCACTCTCCTCTTCACCCAAGATTTAAAGTAAAAAATGTGTAGCATAATCAAGGTCTTAAATCTTATCCCAATAATTTGATAATGACAATACCAAAAGGCCATCTTGGGTCTTGGTTTCCTGCATTAAACAAGCAGATCAAGATTTATTATAACACGTCAAACACTCCATAGATCATAGGCATCTTGAGTCATATCATATAAAATAAAGTATTTTTAGATATCATACTTAAGAAAAGGTCAGCAAGGCTATGTAAAGGCACCAGAATTATCTTCCTTTTATGGTTTAGTTCATACTGGAAGATTTTTTAAATTAATCTGGAGTTTGCCTTTGGATTTTCCATTTTTGACCACAAATACAAAACCATGAAGGTAAAAAAGCTGACTTTCAGGACTCCTCCCATTGGCTTCTGCTAGGGTCAGCAGGTCCATGTGCAAAGCTGTGAGAAGGCAGAGTGCTTTCTGAGATCTGTTTGGCAGTAGATATATCCCCTCTCCAATGAGGAACCACTGCAAATTATGGGGGAAGTGTCATGAGAGCATACTAGGGATCAAAGAGTACTCATCCCTCAGAAATGACATGTGTGGGAAAAGGCCCTAAACATATTTAAATGTACCTCCAAAAGCTACTGCCCTTGTAACCACAGAATGTTTGGCCACTTTGGAGCCTGTGGGTCTGATGTCCTTTCCCAAGCCCTGACATACAACCACGAAGTCAGGTGGCCTAGTCTGCCTGATAAGATGACTTTTTAGTTTGGTCTCTATTCTGATACCAATGAGACCCACCAGAGTATCCCATACCAAGGGAAATAAGCATTCTGAAACAATGGGAATAAATAGGACTATATTTCATTTTTATCAAAACAACACATAAAGACAACTTGGGAATTAAACATCATCAACATAGGTTTAAATAGAAGGAAATTTTAAGGCACCCTATTCCATGCTAGAATCAGATGCTCTTTCCTGCTTTTGAGTGTTTGGTGAAGGATCCCATGATTTGAAAAAGGCAGAAGAGTTTGGGATGAGACCCCATCTTGTAAGGGTCATCTCTGAAACAGCCTGATTATCTGGTGGGAATGCTATCTCCTTGCTAAAAGCCTGTGGTTAGATTAATGCTAGCATTTGAAAATCTGTTCTGGCCTGATGGTGGGCAGCCAGAGAAGGAATGTGTTTTCTGTTTATCTCTTTAGTGGCAGAAATGTTCATCACAGAAAGACTCCGAGCTCCCAGTTTCAGGCAGGCCTGGAAGTTGTGCAGTCTGTAGTCTGTGAAAGTACACATCAGCTCGGAATGATGAGAAAGAGCCAGGTCTGTGTTCACAGCCAGTTGCCTGCATTGGGTGATGGGTCAGTTTCTTCAACTTGATAACAAGGGTAGATCCAGCCACATTGTTGGGAGAGGAAGTTTTACCACCCCCATTGCTTTATCACCCAGGAATGCAGTTTGAGTTGTGTCTCCTCCTTGACAGCATGGACCTCAGTAAATTACCAGGGTCTTGACCCAAGCGATGGAGAAGTCCTAAGCGATTTTTTTAGTCTCCTATCTAAAAATGTGTTTACATTTCTTGAACTCTGGCTGACTGATTCATTCTCCTGGTGTTGCAAGAACTTTCTTTATGCATTAGAATTTATAAGTTTCATTTCTAAAAGACCCAAGTTTCCTTCCAAGCCACAGTGAAGTGAACCTCCTCTCAACACAATTCTGCTGGGCTGGATTTGTCCAAAGGATGGATCATGGCCAAGCAGCTGTGATGTGGCAAGCTCAAGTGAGGCTAATGGAGGGAGTGTGATGTGTAGGGGAAAGTATTAGATACTAAGTCAGGAGATTTGGGTTCAGGTTCTGGTCTTACACTATTTCAAGGACTAGCCTTAAGCCAATCTCTTGAAACCACTCTCTGGGCCTCAGTTTCCCCAGCTGTTTTAAAAAAGAAATGTTTTAAATCTGTCCTAAAGCCATTTTCAAACAAGAACAGGACAGCTGAGAAACAACAGAAAAGGAAAGGTCAGCCCACAAGGAATGAGTAGAAGCTTCAGGTCAAAGAGACAAAGATGCCATGGGCTCTTAAAAGTAGCAAGCATAGAAATAACTTTTTGTTGGACACTCCACCCACACTAGAGACTAAAACCCTTGTCAGTGGAGCCATGTGCTTAGCTAAATCTGTTCTCAAATAAACATTCCTTTATAAACATTAAATTCACTTTCTTAGGAATAAAAAGGAAAACAAAATAAATCCTATCCTTTTTCAGCATGGGGTTGGAGTCTTGGGCTCAAATCATTTCTGAAAACCTCACTTGTTCTACAACCTAAGCTTCCATATCTGTGGAGGGCAGTGGTCATGCAACCACGGAGGACAGTCATGCAGAGTAACACCACATTAGTGTCTGCATGGCACCTGCTTCATGGCAAGCTCTGCGATTTTCCTTTGTCCCCTCTCACGAGCCCTACTTTGGCCTTTGCCTTTGTTTGTTTTATGTTTCCACATCTCCTGTAGCCCCCTCGCATGAGAAGGGAAAAGGGAAATCTCTGATCTCTCTATCTGGAAGGTTGCAGAAGCATTTTCCTACTTCAGTTGAAGTACAATCATGCAAAATTTATATTCAACAGTATCAGCAGATTTTTTTCCATCAATATTTCCTTTTTAATTCCAGCTTTATCTGAATTTTAGTAGCACAAAGAATTTACTTTTTTCTTTGAAAGAGCAACCAAGACAAGAAAAATAGAAATTTGAGTATAACTTCTCAACATAACAATGGTATTTAGATGGTGCTTATAGAGGGTACAGATGTTGTTTGGCGAGTAAATTCAAATGTCATAGGTGTGTGTTTATAATCTTATACACATGACCTGGGTGTGTATGTATATAGTATATATAAAAATTAATGAGACCTAGATCTGACAACTTTAATCTTTTTTCTCTGTGATTTTCACCACAGCAAACACTGAATCCAGAACCTATCTTCTCACGAATCTTAATGAAATCTCACCTTTGACCCAAAAGCCAGAGAAGCAGGTACAGTATTGACTGAACAGCATGAAACAGGGAGGCAGGATGTTGGGTTCTTGTGCTGGCTTGCTGTGTGACCCTGGGTGAGAGTTTTCATCTCTCTGGACCTCACTTGCCTCATCAATAAAATGAGACAAGTGGATTATAAAATCACAGAGGTTCCTTGGAATGTCAGCTCAACTTGGGCTGTTTTGTGTGGCTCTTCGTGTGCCTGAATGAGTTGAATCAGCTTTTCCCTGACTTCTGCAAAGTCAAAAAGGGAATAAGGAAACACAGAAAGGTATCATCCATCAAGGCAGCTGGCACTAAGACTCTGTGCTAAAGGGTCCATTTTTTTCCCATCCAACTCTTATTCCAATGGGGAGGGGGAAGAGTAACAATCAAGGGAAATAAATGTAAGGATACTATAAAGAAAGGAGACAAATGCTTCATTTGGATGGGTCAGAAATATCTATTAGCGTTTCAAGGATGTACATTCACAAATATTTCTAAGTTTGTTCCTTTATTTGAAGCTTTGAGGTTGGGACTCTTCAAATTCACTCTAGAGAGACAACTCAGGGGAATTCTTAGAGCTGTCCCCAGGGTCTCAGAGAACCTGAAGAGAGGCAGCACAGCTCCAGGGCACTCTCAGGTCTCTTCCTGCTGGGCGACAGCCTGGGCTAGGAGAGGGGGGCATGACCTCTATTTCTCCCTTATCTCTGGCTTCCTGCCACAGCCCGGCTTTCTCCTCTGGCCACACATTCATTAAAAAACAATAACAATAAAAGTAGTTTTGTTTTCCTGCGTGTGCCTAGCTGGGTTCTGAGGAAGGACCTGAACTCTCACTGTTAGAACCCCAGGCCTGGGCCAGGCCTCCGCGGAGGTAAAACACAGCTGAGCTGACCCTTCCTGCTACTGAGGAACCAATGAACCAACGTTTGCTGCTGCTTCTTCTTCTTCTTCTTCTTCTTCTTCTTCTTCTTCTTCTTCTTCTTCTTCTTCTTTTTTGCATTCCTGCTTTGAAGAAAGCCTTTATGAGGGATCTAGAAGGTTTTCTTTTTTAAGAGAGTCTGTGACTAAGGAAAATATAACTATGCTATATTTTGATAATTCCACAATTCCAAAGGCCTTGCAGATGCCTCACATAACCCTAAACATGCTCCAAATTCACACATCTCCCCTGCCTGTATTTCAGGAGACCTAATATCACCTGCCATAAAAGAGTGGCTCAGTCCTGTCAAATTAAGCCCTAGACCGAATGATTAACCTTGCAGTCAGAAAGGGGGCACACCAGACCGAGGGCCTTAAACTCTAATCATACGTAGGCTTCCCCTGTGAAGCTGTGGCTGACCGGCTCACTCTGCGAACTTCGGGGGCCTCTTTTGTGAAGAGGGCTGTTGTTCCCCCACAGAACCAGTGGGTTTGTCCAAGTCACAAGTAGCCTTACCTCCTTTTCAAGTGGGGCCCAAAACGAAAGGCATCCGAGGAGACCGTCTAGGGAGCCCCGCCAGCCCCTAAACACAGGGAGAGTGGGGGTGAGGCTGAGGAAGGGGGAGGCGGCTCCCACCCCTCCCTTCTGGAGGCTAATGGCCCTTTATTAGATTAATCACCGACTAAAATTGTAACTACTTCCTCAACTGACTCCATGCAAACGACTAATTTCATGTTGACTATAAAGCATCTGGAAAGGATTTAGAAACAAATTTGTGCCCAGCAGATTTCAGTTCCGTGCCCTGATGGGCCGCGGGCAAACCCAGTGGGCTCCCTGCAGGGTGAGGCAGCTGGGGGGGGCACCCAAGGCTGATCTGCATCCGCATCAGTTTCTACTATTCTCTCCTTCCCATGAGCCCCTCCCCGACTCGGCCTCTCCCTCCCCCCACGGGGGTCTGGCCGCGGGGCGCAGTGGGGTCACCTAAAGCACTTGCGCTTCTGTGTCGCTGCGCCAGCTGCGGGGACGGGGAAACACTCCACCAAAGCCAGGGAGGGCCGCCTGGGCCTCAGCACGCCTTCACGACAAGTCACACGTAGATGCGGGAAACAAGCCCTGACGGGGCCGGGGGCGCGGTGCCGAGGGGGCGAGGCAGGCGCGCCCCGCTTCGCGGGTGGAGGCCCCGGCAGCTGGAGGCCGCCCGCGGTCGCCCCCTAGCGGCCGGACTGGAAACGTCGGCGGCGCGCGTCGTCGCCCGCGGCCAGCGCGGCGGAAGAGCGCGGAGGCCTGAGGCGCCCGGCTCCCCGCGCCTGAGGCGCCCGCCCCGCGCCGCCCGCCGCCGCCGCCGCCGCCGCCGCCGCCGCCGCCGCCGGGCAGGCCCCCGGGCGGCTCCGCACGCAGGCGTGGGAGCCGCAGCAGCCGCCACCACTTCCTGGGAGGCGGAGGAGCAGGCTGAGCCGCCGCAAGAGGGGGAAGAGACTGCGAGGGGGAACGCGCAGATGAAAAGAGCAGTGAAAAAAGGAAAAGGAGACAAGCAGACATGTTTCAACTGCAAGCTCCCATTTCCTCTTTCAAATGAGCTGCCTCCCCACTGTGAACAGAATCAAGTATTTATGAAGGCATTTTTTGCATATTAATAGCTGCACTTGGAGCCTTGCCAGTTCTGAAGTCCTAAAGGTACGATGCCCCCCTATTAATGCGGGTCCTTCAGCCTCCTCACAGGACTTGGTATCCGCCTTCACACACAGTTTCCTTTCTGCCTCGTGGCTCCTCCTCGGGCCTTTCATTTGATTAAGAGAAATTAGTTCCCGCGGACCGTCGGCGACCAAGGGCTGCTCTTACCGCGGTGGCTGACTTCAATCGCTCGAGAAGCTTCTCCTCTTCCCCAGGGCCTCTCTGTGTAGACGCTGCAGGTTGGGTGAGGTGACCAGCACCTAAAAAAAACAGTATTAAAATTGTAAATGAAAATTCCAGCAGGAGACGTTAACATATCTATGCTGTAGGGGCAGAAAAAGCAAAACTTTTTTTTTTTTTTAAGTTTTTTAAAAATTGTGTTCACCACGGCAGCACCGCTATGCTCCATTGAATTTTACAAAAAAAAATTGAGAACGAGTGAGAAAAATAAGTAAAAGACATAATAAACAACGTATGTCAAAAATAATAGCAACAGAAAACAAGTTTGGAAAAATATTTATCCTGAGTGGTGATTTACGCGCAGATTGAGACAACCTGGAGGTACCATTTTATATTTGGGATGTATGCCTCCTCTCGCTTTTCTTTTTTCTTTTCTTTTCTTTTTTTTTTTTTTTAATGGTAACACCCAGTTGTGCCTTTGTTTTGGTGAAACTGGAACACTTACACACTTCTGGCGGGTTGTAATTTGGTTTAATCCAGTGGTTAAGCAAAATGGCAATATAACTTGTGAAGCATGAAAAAATATTCCAACTCATCTATTCAGTATTTCTGACTCCTAGGAATTCATTCTAAGGAAATAATCCAGCTGAAAAAAAAAAAAGTGAGTGAAGATGTCCACTGCAGCATTATCTATAATAAGGATAAATTGGAAACAGCCTAATAGTCCAACATGAGAGAAATGATTTAACTTAATTATGACCTATCCCTCTCAATGAAAGGTTTAATTCATTGAGAAACGATGCTTGTTCATACTAGAAACTGATTTTTTTTTAAGATTTTATTTATTTATTCATGAGAGACACAGAGAGAGGCAGAGACACAGGCAGAGGGAGAAGCAGGCTCCATGCAGGGAGCCTGACATGGGACTCCATCCCAGGGCTCCAAGATCACGCCCTGGGCTGAAGGAGGCACTAAACCACTGGGCCTCACGAACTGCCCAGAAACTGGATTTAATACTCCTCGTTTCTCAGCCCCCACACCATCAATATTTTGTGCTTCCTATACATTGCAGGATGTTGAGCAGCGTCCCTAGCCTTTACCCCGAAGATGCCAGTTGCACAGCCCCCCCTCCCCCAGTTATGACAATAAAAAATATCTCCAGAGCTTGCCAAATGTCCCCTGGGGGAAGGGGGGGGAATAACCCTCAGCTGAGATTACATTTTAAAAGTGGAAATCATGGAAATCAAAGTGATGTTAACTAGAACTGCAGCTATGTAAAAATATAATAAATGTATCTATGAGGAAAAAACTTGCAAATAATGCATGCAAAAAAAGTGCAGTCTTGCTAATTTGAAATTAGAGCTTCGTTGAGTTGAAGTTTTGTTTTTAGTTTGTCTTCTTGTTTTTCGCTGCTTTTTTTTTTCCTTCCAAAATTCTGCCTATAAGAAGGAGAAATGAATCAAGTGGAACACTGGTTTTATTCAAGCCTGACTTAAAATGATCTAGGAGTCACAGTCAACACGTATAAAGCAAGTTAAACAAAGGTTAACACTACAGTGCCATTATCTTTTAACTACTGTTAATAATTTTTTTTATTTATTTATAATAGGCACACAGTGAGAGAGAGAGAGGCAGAGACACAGGCAGAGGGAGAAGCAGGCTCCATGCACCGGGAGCCCGATGTGGGACTCGATCCCGGGTCTCCAGGATCGCGCCCGGGGCCAAAGGCAGGCGCCAAACCGCTGCGCCACCCGGGGATCCCCTCTTTTAACTACTGTTAGATAAAATGATTAAGTTTTTATCAAATTGTTGGACAGGGCCACCAGAATTCTCCTTTTAAGGATCTCAACCCTGGGATCCCTGGGTGGCGCAGCGGTTTAGCGCCTGCCTTTGGCCCAGGGCGCGATCCTGGAGACCCGGGATCGAGTCCCGCGTCGGGCTCCCGGTGCATGGAGCCTGCTTCTCCCTCTGCCTGTGTCTCTGCCTCTCTCTCTCACTGTGTGCCTATCATAAATAAATAAAAGTTAAAAAAAAAAAAAAAGGATCTCAACCCCTTTTCAGCGTTTTATCCCTCTGACCTTAGACTTTGGAGGACAATGAATTTGCCTCTTTTTCTGAAAAGTTAATATCTCAAACTATGAAACTCTCTTGTCCACCCAGATCCAGCCATGTAAGCTTGGAGCAAGAAGGGTCCTTAGTCCACTGTTTATAGAGCTGTCAGGGAAGAGAGGTTGTCAGTAAAGAG